GAGCTCGCCTTTCGATTTCCTAGCTAGACGTCACCAGGATCTACCTGCTGATACCGAAGCCACCTTTACGGAAACTACAGTAGCAGTATGCGTTGCTACAGTTACGCCTGGAGCCATGGAAGGTGAGCACAAACTAATTCAAATCGAAGACTACCGGTTAAACAACGGAATTCTGCGGCTCCGGCAAGGCAGTGCAAAGTTTTTTCCTGCTCAAGCCAGTGGGAAAGAAGCGAGGAGGAACGTCAATATTTTACTGCCCTGCCTGCTCACGGGAGAAGCGAGGTGTTGTCACGCGGTGGAATAAGGTGAGGGGACATGCTAAGGCAGAAGGGCTAATCTGCTCGCACATGTGGCATTTTTCGTGGCAAAACGCCGAATTTACGCCCAAGGCAAGCAACTTGCGCGACCGCGGATTTATGAAGGAGTAGATACTGCGCTTCAATACACACCAATTTGCTTTTGATAGTTATTCCTCTGTGTGGTGGGCATTAGTGTTGGGCAGGTAGCGGCCCGTGAACTCCACAGTGCACTCGCATTTAGATTCTTAAGAGCTTCCCTCCCTTCTGCTCATGCAGCGCCCGTTGCTGGTGGCGACAAAAGGGGCAAAATATATTTGTTTAAAGTATACATAGTTTATTTCATACTATTTCTTATGCTGTTCAGAACAGCATAAGCGTTTTAGTACTACTTCCTTGTCACACCTCCACGTCCAAGGGGTTAAAACTTCACCGGCCACCGACTTGTCCTAGCTGTGTCCATTGAACAGAACGGTGTCTTATCACAACACGACAAGCTCTCTGACAGGCAACATAGACCGTGTGCTCCACTGTGAAAAAGTTCACTTTCGACTGGGGCAGGATTGACTAACTACTAGGGCTCGCTGACCGTTTCTCGCTCGGCAGGTTTTTTTTTCCGCCAGTGTCAATATCTGCTTCCTTCCCAGTTTTATTCTCTTAAATACCTAGCAGCCATTGGTTTAAAAGAGTATGGGAGGCAGGGTTGTTAACGGTTTGTCATGATTTGCCCATGTCCAAAACCCACCTATCGCTGTACATTTTCAAAATCGTGTGGTTACCTATGCTAATATGCTCGCGATTTGCTTATACCTGATTTTACTATATTTGGCCGTTTTCGAATTAATCCTTT